GTGTGTGTGTGTGTGTGTGTGTGTGTGTGTGTGTGTTGGCCGGAGATCGATTTTATCGGAAATTCATAATTCCTGTCCCATTGGGCCTAGAGCATTCAAATTTGAAAGCGATACAGGAAGCATGATGGGAACACTGATGGTAGGGGATAGGAGGTAACAACAATTGATAGGAACTGATAAAAAGCCCCAAAGGCAAATGCCACAGGATCTATAACTTCCTTCGTGTTAGCGATGATGCCTGGGCACTTCGAAAGGTGGTGTAGCATGTGAAGGGACCGTGAATAATTGATGACATGGATTGGTAGTAACTGATAGATACTGATAACAACTTGGCAATTTGGTAGGTAGTGTGGTGCATGAATTGATAGCAGATGAATTGTGACAAGAACTGATAACACGCGATGGGACTGATAAAGAGTCATCGAAGACGAGATTCCCTGGGTTTAAAACGCACTCCCTGTTAATAAGTAAATCTACCATGGCCTTTTAATATGCAATGTAATATGAGTCAGGATCGTAGATACTCGATGACGGGGACTGATAACATTTGATATCGCCTGATAATGTGCTGTCAAAGGCAGGAACCACAAGACCTGTAACGCGCTCCCTGTTGACAGTGGAACCTTAGCATTTTAAAAGATGATGTAAGATGTGGACAGGATCGCAGGTATTTGGTGATGGGTACTGATAACAACTGATATCGGCCGATAATGAGCTGTCAAATTTAGAAACTACGCTTTTCATGCTACCAGTGGGCACGAAAAGCGTAGTCTCTAAATTTGTACAGTTCATTATCGGCCGATAATGCACTTCGGCGGTGATAGAGTGTCAGGAACTGCTAACAAATGATGAGGGCAAATAACAAGTCCCGGAAATGACAAACTACTATATTGATAATCCCATCAACGGTTGAGCCTTCACAGTTTGGCATATGATGCGGAGTATGGTGCGCTCGTAGACGACCGATGAAAGGAACTGATAACAACTGATAAGGACTGATAAGGGCTTTTACCGACTAAGTTTCGCACCCTCTGGGATTCTTAGCTAATGGTATATCTGTAGGAGACAGGAGATCCATTGATAAAGACTTCTGATAAGGGTGTTGTTATAACTTGACAGCATTTGTGAGTACTACTCAAGGCTTCGATTGCCTGAAAGTTCAATCTCTTATGAGCAATTGTTTTCAATCTGAGAAGCAGCCGATAAATTCCTAATCATGAAGTAAACAAAATGAAACTCGGTTGCCACGCGGAGAAATACGAATACAACCAGTAGCAAGAATTTATTTCACCTCAAACTTGGTTAATTAAGTGAAACACTGGGTCAGAAGAGAGCTGGGAAGAAGATGAGCCAGTTCAAGGGGTGCACAGGAAATGATAGGCGCATAGAGAGTCGGTGCAGCGTCTCGCACGCAGGGTGCTGAGGGATCATAGTGTAAGGTATCTGAGGCGCAACTTACGGTTGGTCATATTTATATCGTTTATGAGTTTTTTAGGTTTTGCTGAAGATTAGCTCAATTCCCATCACCAAGAAGCAAGAAGAGCTTACTGCAGATTTGGGGATAAGCTCGCTTTCTCCTTGTCATCATGTCACCCTAATTCTAAAGTTCCGATAGCACTGGAGCTGCGATAGTAAGCACCGGCACATACAGCTGTCAAAGCTGTAGAGTCTATGTAGAATTTCATTTCCAGAAAGGTATCTTTTGTCCTGGTAACGGAGTTGCATTGCCCGATCACTAGAAATTTGGAGGAGGATAGACCAACATCAGCCGGGCCATCCGGGTATTATACGTATTTATGCGTACCATACATGCATACACATGCTCATTTTCTACACTTTCACGAGCATGTTTTGTATAGACATAGGTGAAAATGTAGGTAGTTGGGAGGATGGAGGGGGTAGGGGGGGGGTACTTATAAAGTATTAGTATAATAAGGATTTACGTTCCATTCTGTGTGACGCCAGACTCACGCAACTTTTCAACCAAGCCTTAAGAGTGAGAAAGCACAGGGGTGGGCGCCTTCCGCACGAGATAATCATCCCACCCACCCCGGTGCTCCTTATAACGTGGTTGAAAAATTACATCTCCCTGACTGAAATCGCAAAAAAGCGCATAGATTTCCTATGCTCATGCTCTTCTCCATGACTGATTCAATGCTTGCACAATGTTACAGATCTTCACAATATTGGTTATCTTCACCGTGATGTTAAGCCCGGTAATTACACAATAGGACGGGCGGAACTTAATGAGTTGCGGAAGGTGTATATTCTCGATTTTGGTATGTGTAGGAAATTCACAAATGATCAGGTAAGTATAGCAGATATGCCTAGTCAGAAACAATATCCTTTCGGCGGAACTTCTTAACTCTTCCAGGGCATCATCCGCAAGCCTCGACAGGCAGCTGGATTCCGGGGAACCGTTCGTTATGCTCCGATATCTTGTCACCTTCAAAGAGAGCTTTGCAGGTGCGACGTAGTTAGATGACGTGTAATGTTGCTGGAAGATAGCAGGGTTACTGGAAACTTTGCACGCGCTAACAAGTTGCCTTCACTTCTTGTGCTGATTATCGAACAGATTCCCTATGTGTATTAAATCAAAAATTTACGAGCAGCTTGTCTAGTAAAAAAAACGAGAGTTTTGTGGAAGAAAGAGTGTTGAAATTACATACAATGCCTACCAAACGTACAAGGAGACATCGAAACTTTTGCCATAAAGAGTAACTCCAATTTTCGCGATATGGTATTACACCATTTGAACTCTTGAGTGCAGGAATCCAGTATTACACTTATACCCTCAACTAGTACAAGTGGTAGACTTACCTTCCTTCGACTGTAATGAATTAGGAACTGATGGGCCTCCTGAGCAGTTCAAACAATACATTTGGCATGCTCTCAACAATGTTGGCAATCGCTTTCTCGGCGATTTGTTGTCAACAACATAGACATATTGTCCCTTTGCCTCAATTATACAGTTGTAGCGCAGAGATGAAGACGTCGAACCAAAATCCCGATATGTTTTCAAGAGGTTTCCAGTCAGCAGAACATTCTGGCCATCAACATCCTCACGTTGAGGCCATATCTGAGCAGAACGCAGGATATGAAACCCGCTCCCCCTACCGTACCAAGCTGCGTGCTGCGTTGCGCGTCTCAAATGAAAGGGACGAAGCAAGTGGCAGAAATTCGAAACAAGACGAACAGACACGACATTTTTATTCGAAGGCTATACATAATCCTTCACGATTTATCCTAGTACTTCGGTCACTGGCGCATTTGGACGTGCTGCAATTAGTCCACTCTGCATCCCACGCGTCTTTCGATGGCAAGGGAACGGGCACGCCACCAGTTCGCCGAATACCCTCTCGTGCCAAAAGCTATTCCGCCTGTGCTGTTCGATGCCGTCGCGAATTGTCGTCCATGAAAAATAACTTTGCACTGAAAAGACGAACATGAGAAAGGTGTATCTCGCCACATCAACGCTGACTGGTATGAGTTATACGCTTGACAATCCGCAGGTCAGGACAGCCATGCAACATTATGCCTATCCGTACCGTAACATCTGGAACACCAGAACAATCACGTTCGACACTGTTTCGGGGGGAGTTGAGCGTTTTCACCTCTCGCCATATGAGAGTGCGTCGAGAATCACTGCTCTGCTCCCATCCAAAAAGAGCACAGGATTTCATTACTCATCGGTCCATTCGCTGTACTCTTTGAACCACGCTAAGCGGTTCGCCGATGCGCTAGAGACAAGAGACCCACTGAAGTGGTTGTCAGTCGAAGATACAATGGACTCAAGACACTTCACACGTGGGAGGATCTTCGAGAATTTAGAAGTAGGGCGAACCACGGTGAGTGTAGCTCAGGAGTTCGGTATCGCCCACATGTTTCACGTGCACGAAGAGCGCCTCGAACCTTTGGTACCACTGCCTGAACAGGAGAAAGTGGTCGGCTAAGATCAACCGTACCAAAGGATGACTGCTACATTGTGCAGCGGGCAAGAGGAGATCCACGTCAATCAGTTCCGCGATTGCAAAGACGTCAAATGGTCTTCAAGGTAAGCCAACCCGCACACTACAGTGGCACAGCTACTGCACGGACCATTCAGTGTGGCGCCAGGAGTTCAGCGAAAGGACCGATGAGTAACGAAGTCCTGGGCTCTTTGGATGAGAGAAGATTCATTCTAAGCAGTGGTTCTGGACGCACTCTCATGTGACGAGAGGTGGAAAACACTACTCGTCTAGAAACAGTGTCGAACGTGTCTGGTGGCCGAGATGTTACGGTATGGGGAATATCGTGTTGCATGGCCGTACTGACCTCCAGATTGCTGAGCGTATAACGTATACCAGTTAACGTTGATGTGGCGAGGTACTCCTTTCTAATAGCTTACCACAATTGGTCGTGCGTTGTGAAGGGAGTTGTTGGATCTAATAGGAGAAGGATACGGCAGCCATAGCGGATCCACGGGCTGACNCACCGCAGCCGTCGCATGCGGTGAGTCAGCCCGTGATATTTGTCGGACGTCGTAGTTGTCAATGGGGCATACGACTTGTGCTTGGTCCATGGCAATTTGCCAAAGAGAAGATAACACGGACAAATGCAAACTACTCACTCCACTGACAATTGGTGATACTGTAATGTCATCTCGAGACCTCAGTGGCGTGCGCTACGCGCGAAGTGGGCGGGGTGACTGGTTAGGATTCAGTTATTGTTTCGCTGGGCATGAGAAGAGCATCAATAACCAATCCGTTCCCCGAGAACATCGACCTCCTTGGGCTCGAGTCCACATTTTCAAACGACTGTTGTCTAATGGCAGCACTCCTTGTTGCTGAGTTGCTAAAATCGGTTTCAATGGCACCAAGCGTCCAAAAATTCACTTATCAGTCAGTATTCGCTTGTCCAGCTATATCAGCAGTATCGTATGAGATCTAAACTACGAGACCACTGGTATATAGAAAGGCCTAATGCGATACTCGAAAAATAAGCGAATTTTTGAGACAGCATAATATTCATTGATATGTCAGTAGAGACTGGTAGCGGTGTTCAAAACGGCACACACTGCTACACATGCGATGTTGTCAATTTAGGAAAGATGACTGCGAGACGTGGGTGTACATGTTGGTCGAATTTACGTACGGCCGTCTTCCTTGGAAAGAGATCCAGGATATGAATCAAGTCCGTTATTGACTAAGCATTTTTGACGTTTCGGGCTTTTTGCCGGTTTTGTGTTTGTTTCATGTCTAACTCCTACCTCGAAAAATAAGGGAACAAATTATTGAAAAATTCGACGGGCTAACGTTCCGGCGCAATTGTCTTCTTCAGTAGCCAAGGTTGCACCGCTCAAGCTGACAATAATACGTCAAAGTTGTTAAATATATGTACATACATATTACATGTAATATGCATGCATGCACATACAGCAATATTAGCTTACCCGTTTCTATTGTAGCAGGCTCGCTCAGCTGACGCCGGGCTGCTCTCCTTCTCCTATTGAAATAGCCTTCACGCCTGCACCTTTTTCAAGTTGGGAGGCTTCGGTAGATGAGAACAGGAGTTATTCATTCCCGGCCAAACACAAACACCCAACACAATTCGTGCGCACCCCGTCCGCCATGAACAAACCTCCTTAGGTTCTGTGCGTTTGAGTAACTCGATTTATTTCCGACTCATCCAACCTTGGTTCCGAAACTTCGCTTCAAGTCTAAATTAACATTTCCCCACGCCTTGCCTCTTGTAAGCGGAGTTGAGTCCAACCGCCCGACATAGGTGCTCCCATCCTGCCGCCTGAATATGAGCGCTCTAGGTCCAAGTTTGCATTTTTCGCACGATCCCCGCCTCGTGCAGGTGATGCCCGCTCTTGCGCCCCTCATAAGTGTTCCCAACCTGCCGCCTGTGCTCCTATCAAATTTGAACTTTCTAGGTCCATGGAGACAGGAGTTATGAATTTCCGGTCACACACACACACACATACACACACACCACACACACACACATACACATACACATACACATACACATACACACACATACACACATCCGAATTGAGTTGGAAGAACACCGCCTGCGGTGAGGAGAGTAGGGATTCGAATAGTAACAGAGGTATGAGAGTCCGATGCTCGATACTAGCGACAACGACCGGGGAAAAATCTTTGTCGATTTACTAGTAGCTGGATCGGGATGACTATGTGTCTTCTTGGCCTACTTTGCTACTTCTATTCTAGAATTCGCTCAACATTGTCGTTTCGTTAGACGTCGAAATTGCAGTCAGTAACGCTCCTCTCATGAAGAATCGTACGATGATCTACATGTTATAGCTTTTAGGTAGGCGAGTACAAAAAACGTGTCCGTCAACCTATGTACATCATGGAGCTTTTCCCTCCCCCTTGTCCTCGTGAGTACATTGAGGCACTACAGTATATCGACGGATTGAAATATTATGATGCGCCCAATTATCAGTACATTTACGGAGTGAGTTGCATGAATTTTTCTATACATATTTGTCGGACGAAATGAAGTGAGTCAGAGAAAACGTCAAAGGCACAGTTCACGGTAATTTTGAGGTTCCCTTTTTAAGTCGAAAAAAATGGAAGAACTGGTTGGGAACAGTGCATCGGTATTATGCGAAAAGTAAGACTATTCAATAGTAGGGAATATAGAGGTCACCATGATGATGACATGAAAGGGGTATTTGGACGAGATTTCAGTTGTTGTATTTGAGCAAGGAACTGACTACATCGAGCCAAAACTGTTCAGAATTGTCTTTCACTGCCATCATATGTCATGACAAGTTCTTTGAACTTTGGTCTTTGGTCCCCTTGTGGATGGTGCAGCCTCTACAGTGCCGTCAAAAGTCTTCCACTATGGGCGTGGCATTCACATGTACAATCTATTGTGCTCTACACAAGATGTTTTTCGACCTTTACGGCAGTTAAGGTATAAAGGGGACCTCGAATACATACTACAGGGGGATCCCGGACTCAATTTCTATCGCGAACCGTGCCCTCAAGTCAAACAATTGGAGGAGTTACTCAGTTGTTGTTTTTCCAAGTTATATGCATCTCTCCCCTTCATGAAAGCAAATCATATAGTGTGTATTCAGATCATGCGAAGGGCTCTGCAATCAGCTCGAGTGCAGGAGTTTCCTTACGATTGGGAGATGGGTGGTCCCACGGCCTACCTGCTTCAGTAGACTGCATTTTTTCAGTCTTGTAATAATAAAGTTTTTAAACAATTTTAAAAGGGCATTATTAAGAAAAGATAAACGACAAACATGCTCCTAGAATCGGAGCCTGTATTGTTACTCAAACGGCTACACCACGTTTCTAAAAAGGAACTCGAGTGCGAGGACAGATCTCAGAAGCAGGATCGACTAACGCAGAAAAAGTTTATCCCTCAATATTCCTACAGACAGTCATAAACAGTAGTTAGCATATCAGAAACACAAATATCCCAAGCAAAAACTCAATCAATTGAATTAGTTAGACGTGAAGGCACTATTAACTTTCTTCATGAAGAACCCTTTCAAAAGTAATACAGTTCACTGGCCTTGTATGCTTCTCATGGTCTTTCTCTAGTCTTGACAAATGTGTTGGAACATGCGAGGAGCTCAAGATAACAATGTCAAAAGCATGGAAGTTCACAGAAGAAGTAAGGCACAGTTCACGATAAAAGGATCCCCATAGGATGAATTGGAGGTTCCCTCGTATACCATATCTGGCGTTGGTAGACTGGAAAACGACCTAGTTAGTGAGTTATAAAGGCTCGAAGTTTGCACCGCGTGTATCTACGGACGAGTTTCGCCGGCATTGGAGGGGCTGCACCGTGCACCAAGGGAACAAATGTAGGAGGCTCAAACAAATTGTCATGGCCCATAGCGTCAATGAAAGAGCGACTGGGCCAAGAAACTAGGCAAATGACTGAGGCTTCAAATACATAAGTTGAACTTGCCTTGATGTGCCCATGAATCTAGCATCCTGACAGAATTGTATTTCTGATTATCTGATGAGCTCTGATGTACACCAACTTTCAATAAAGCATACCACTTCGCAGGAATGTTCGAAATAGAATCCGGAAAAACGAAGACGTTTTTACGAAATACGGTGAAAGAACTGCGGATTGGTTATATATAGAAAAAGAAGAACTTTGAAACTGGTTGGTGCAAAAATTGCTTTTACAGAACATGAAACCCAGTCATATTGACTATTTTTCGCTCCAAAAACTCTCTATCGTCTAAAATTGGCGCTAGAGGAAAACTAATTCGATTCGAAAAATTGGTTGAATAAATTGGATATTGAAAAAATTTCTAGTACTGACTCAAACAACATTTGATCTGCTTTCATTCTATACTCTGGAAGAGTTTAGCTGCTCCACAACGCCGAGTGAGGGTGGCGATTCCTTACTGATAATAGGTATAGCAGGGAACTTCGTGACCTCGGAGACACTCAGAACATTAAATGAAGTTGGCGAATCGTCTTCAAGAAAAGAATGAAAGAACGTGTTTGCACTTCATTTTTCGTTTTTTACTTTACAGTTTGGGTGCCTCGAGTGGGATGCAAATAGCGTTTAAGCAAAACCTGTTTCAACTTGTCGAACATGGAAATCCACCATTCTTACCCGTTCAAGCATGTAAAAGCCAAACTAAATGGGATCTTCATATGCCTCTCCACTTTACATGGTCGTTCATCTCGAAAGACGTCGATGCGAAACTACCTCAGTTACTCCTTCTACCGAGCGTAAGTGCAAATAAGTTACTTTGCTTTTGGGGCGTCTGGGAAAGTAGAGAGTGGACAGCCTTTGCTCTTCATATTAGTAGAACCTATCGATTCTTCTAATGCCTATGAACGAAATGTTGCGCAGCTCATTTCTTGTATCAGTTGAGATACATTACAAGCAGAAATCTTCTTTCGCAACAGGGTTCATAGAGCCAACATACCATGACCATTACCATTTGTTATGACTGGTTTCTCTCTTTTCGTAGTGAAAATATGGTTGGAGGGAACTACCCTACAAAGCTCTACATCTTTAACGTTAAAGGTAAGAGTGCGAAGAAGGATGGGACGCCGGCTTTGTGGATGTACAGTGGTGCCTAGAATCTATTCCTACCGCTAGTGAGGTGAGGTTTGCCCAAATCTAACATGAGAGAAGGGTCCGTAAGCCTTTGACTCTGTGCAAGAAGGGGAAGAAGGTTGGAACATCAGGATACTAATAACCCTCAAAAAGTGCACACAAGGATGTGAGGGTGTGTGCTCCATTCCCGATCTCATTTTCATTTCACCTTTCCGACAATGCTCAACATTCATCCGGCTGTTTTAACATGAGTTTTATGCTCAGACGGAAGTTTGACAGCTTGGGTGGAGCGATGATTTCCCTTTATTCGTGTAACATTGAAGCTTATCACTGTCTCACCTTTCCCATGATTTCCTCTTTCCGTCAAAGCTCCCTTCGGAAGTTAGCAACGAAAGACAAATTTAACCTGATGCAGTCGCACGGATCTCCTTGACCTAGAGTTTCTCTTTTACTAAAGGATCTCTCGCTGATTGGCGGCGATTCTACATGGTGCGATTACAGGTGATGGACTAAGGAATAAATAGTGACACTGTAGAGTCTCCGGTACTCTTCTCCAGACGCAGAAGATGGATTCAGAAAGTGGATGAACTGTTTTTGCTGTGCTGGAATTGATGCTCCCAGGTGTATCCATACATACGTCTCTGAAAAGTCCGTGCTTGCTGTTGGAATCCTGTAAAATGGCTAGCCATAAGTATGCATTGGAGTAGTCGTGAAACAACCTGAAAATGATTCAGTGCCACCTCCAACAACAAAGGCCTTGTAGGATTTGGAATGACTTAGCTACTTATCAAGAGTTTACCCATTCCCTACGCAAGACCTGGGAACCTACTTTTGGGTAACTGTATGTCAGAAACAGTAATGTATGGTCTTCTTTCCCCTGAACATGTAGAAGTCCCCAATATAGCGGCCATGGGTAGGGTCACTCGGAAAAAACTGCTCAAATCACAGGAATAGAAAAACCTGTTCCAAAAGAGAAGGGCCGCGATGGCAATGTTATGAGGCAAAGCAGGAAGAATGAGTGCAAAACTCACGAGGGCGTTCTTTGCACGCGCCCTTCAATGAAGAAGAAATATTCCTTGGATCAGGCGGCAACAGAGGCTTCGGCCGTGTAGATATCCTGCAAAACTCACGTGCTTGGCCGCGAACATCGATTTGAACAGGAGCGTGACAACCCGTGTCCACCATGAGATTGAGAAGGTGTCCCTAGGATAGAGGTTAAGATTGGCAACTATCGCCCAATCTCGTAATCTATAAAGATTTCACCCACTCATCCTTAACAGAATTGCAGAATAGGAGATGAGGGACAGTCGCGCATTGAATGTCTTTGAAGTCACAGGAGCTGATTGACGTGGATCTCCTTTTGACTGCTCTACAATGTAGCGATTATCCGTTGGTGTGGTTAATCTTGGCCGACCGCATGTTCTCCTTCCAGCAACATGTAAGATTTTCAGAAACTCTCAATCCACGTGAAACAACGCTGCTAGCGATGCTAGGTACTGGGCTCTCTCTCGTGGTTCAACATTGTTCGAATTCCCTGTAATCCTTCCTTGTATGAAATCATTGGATGCTGTCCGTGGAGCGTGTTGTACTGAAGGATGCACTACCGTGCTTTGTAGCTACTCATTCAATGAAGGAACTTCTCCTTTTCATGCCCATCAACTGCCTCGATTTGCACGGGCAGCCATATTTCGCTACCTGTTTATGCTCATCTTCCTCGGAAAGAAGTATGGCTTTTGCTACATAAGCGCTATGCGTCTAGCACTATGCTCGCAGACTTTCACTTATTTCCCCACTCGTTGATGTTTCATGGCATTTTACAAATGCTGGTCGAATTGGATAAGGCTTGTGGGAAGGTGCGCTTGCGACTGAAACTAGCGTAGACGATATTCATGAGAGACGGGCGGGATTCCGATGCTCCTCCACGCCAGATGAAAGGAATATCTCTGAATACTACAACCACATTTATTTAGCTCAAGAAGGCTTCATGATGAATGACCTAGCTGAACAAGCTGAACAGAGGGAACTCGCGACTTGGGCGGCATTTGCGAACATCGGCGAAGAGAAGGAAGACAAAGGTTACTCACTCCGGATCTATCTTTGGTTACTGCGATAGGTCCTACCTTGCCGTGCTCCTCAAAGGCTCCACGAAAGCTTGCGCCGCGCTCGCATGCTCGCTCCCTCTTCGCGCGTTCCTATTATTTCTAGCTGTACCGGCGTGATTGAACCGGAGTGCCTTCAATTCCGCACTACATGTAGACCAGGCGAAGGCAATACTCCCTATAAGCCCATGACCGAGAAGCTGTCTGCGCTCGTTACATTCAGAGCTCAACTCTTTAATCGCGAGTACTTTGAAATTCTATGCACTACTCTTCTCTTACTGCGTGTCTGACGCTGCGGTGGTTATGCTGTACTTCCGTCTTACTCTTCAGTATTCACCTGTCGATGAGAGCCTTGATGAGAGCCTTTGAACGGGTAAAAACAAGGAAAATGCAAAAAACGCAAGGCTGGAGGGAATGGAAAAGATAGAAGAAGAACATTCAAAAGATGAATTGCTAAGATGGTGCTGGTCGTTAAAAAAGTGAACGAATTAGATGGGCTCCAAATACATTAGTTGTATAGCATTTTCTCTGCTCCTTTGATTTTGTCGAGCTCCCTGCTTGTGGTGCGTTTCCAAACAGAACTACAACACACGTCTTACTAGTAGCTGAGAAGCCGAACAGGAGGCGCGCCACAAGGTGTTACCTCATTAGAGCTGTACATTTGAACAGCTGCCATGTTTTTAGAAGATGAATAATAAATTATTCTATTCGAACCACTGTAATTCCGTTGCTTCAATTAATAAGGAAGTTTAGAAGACTTGGGCGCACCTATTACGTTAACAAAGAGAATGGCCTCGATGATGGCGCTGAAATTCGCTTCCATGAACAAGATTGCCACGACAGTCTCTCTTCGGTATCTTCTACAAATAGACGAACAACTGTCAGTTCATGAATTCTCTTTTTCTCAATTTATTTTACACCTCTATATACTTTTCACATCCATATTTTCAGCTCGAAACGAGGTGCCTCAGGGTATGTTCATTCTTCGATTTGCCAGTAGTGGCATCACTAACTAGCACTTTCATATGCAAATCTACATGCAGGTCTGTAAAGCAGCTATGATATAGTCGTTATGATTCTGAACTGATGTCTAGCGTTTACGATTTAGTGCTCTACTTTGTCCACTACTTTAGTGCTACGACTTCGTCCACGCCAACCTGGGGCAAACTTTCTGCTAATGAATTTTTACAGCAACCCATGGTTAGCACCGATAATACCAATATTGTTAGTCTCTCGGTCGGTTTCCTACAGCATTACTGCTGTGCACAATCGACGTCGATTTTCTCAATTTCCTTTCTGCCGGAGTAAGCTTCCACAGCGATGCTCTGTTAGGGTTTTCCTCATTCCATTGGTCCACCTTTGAATTCAGTTCTTTTGCAGACTTTTTTTTTTAAATATTGTGTACTCTCAGTCACATTCAGTGTGAAGGAGTGCAGCAATTAGTGTCAAGTGGAATGTTTTCTTATCCTTTCACTCGGAGTTATCACTTCCTATGTATGATTGAGCAGTAACAGGCGTGTCTCTTCTAGTACATAGGAGAGTTACAACTCCATCGCGATGCCAACATAGGTAACCCTTAGCATGACGAGTTTGAAAAATAGGTGTCTAGATCGTAGTAGCTCCAGCACATCCCCAGGATACATTGTCTACACCTAGTAGACAAAGTGTCTTCACGACTCCCTAGCGTAACCCTGTATCGGCTCGACACTCGTCTGATATATCATCGGTCGATAGGCGTCGACATCGACGAATCCGGTGACGGGGCTCATTTCATGCCCTACCTATTGAGTTTTTGCCCCAACAGCGACCTTTGTGTTAACAGCGAATCCCATAAAATTCCAGAATGGATAGACACATGAGTATCAAGTGAATTGGATTCCTGAGTAAATGGCGGCAAGAGTCAAATGAGAAGTAGTCAGCCGTTGTCCCGAACTTTGGTTAGTATAGGCGGTTGAAGGAAAGAGTTTACATAAGATCTACGTAAATTTTCTACGATAGAATGTCCAGACCTAAGATTTCAAATTATTTAGACCATTTCAACTAAGTTTGCTGAACACAAAAAATATTTTTGAAAATTAGCACCACTGCTTTTCTCAGATTCTCCGTTGCATCTGACAACCCCGTCATGGTCTTGTGGCCTCCGATGGTACATGGACGTCCATTTGTCCGATGGATTGGTGGTCGAAAGAGTGCAACTATCTCACTCGCACTAGAAAATAATCACTCGCACTGTCTGCTGCACCAACTGGTTCAATCTGCCACTTGAAAAAAATGAAGATAAGGATAAAGTCCTTGGCGTTAGTCAATCCCGTCTGAGGGATGTGCCCCCGCACTCGACTTCCTTTCAGAATCGTAGTGGCGAATGTGGCCTATGCAAAGAATCGCGGTGAGCAGCCGATGTACAAGTCAGTGCTTTTATGCTCCCGGACGAGTCCGGTACCAATTAATCGACCTCGGAGGGATGGAAGGCTTGGTAGGTCTAGGCAGATATCGATTCGGGATTCGAACCCCTGCGCGTATGAGATAGTGTGCCACTTGCCGCTACACCACATCCGCCCCTTGAAAAAGTTATGTATCCATGATATATATATCCATGATATATATAAACCGCTAACTTTGTGTGTCCGTTTGTATGCCCGTTTGTGCGTCCTTCCAAAAGTCACGTAGGCAAATGATTAAAGGCGTTATCAATGAAGCGGATACATATGTTTCATTAGATGAGAATCTAAGGTCATTAGCGGTCGGATAAGTCTTGCCAAAAGTGATATCGAAGCGAAGAGGAGCCTTGTTCCTTCACTAAGTTACAAACATTGCTGGGAGAGGTCGTAAAAAACGTTCTCCTGANGGAGCGAGGCGTGCACGATAAAAATTTTAGCACGCAAATTCATAACTCCTGTGCCCGTGGACCTGGAGCGTTCAAACTTAATAGGAGCACGGGCGGCAGGATTGGAACATTTATCGTAAGTGGGAGGAACGGACCCCGCTCATAGAAGGCGAGGTTACGCCAAAATTTTCAGTTTGGTTCTAGGGCGTTCGAACTTGATAGGAGGCAGGCGGCAGTATGGGAGCATTTATGAATAGTAGTAGGGCCGGACTCCGCCCGCTAGGGACGGGTTTCCGCGAGATAAATGAGTGGAAATCCATAACTCCTGATCCCGTGGACTGGAGAGCAAAATCAGTAGGAGGAGGCAGTATGGAAACATTGACAATAGAAGAGGCCTTAGAGAAGAAGATCCACTGACCAATCACCTCCTAGCGCCTTTGCTATTTACAATCTAGCTTTGACTTTTCGATATGTTTCATTCGACAAGAAGGGTAAGTGGAGTGATTATAAGGAGATGTATTTGGTTCACTTCTTGCTATCAGATGACGATCGCTACCCAACAGAGTTTGCGATTAAGTGAAAGATCACGGTTTCTCTTTGCTTTGATATCATTTTTAGCAAAATTTATCCGACCGCTAGTAATGTTGGATTCACAATTAATGATGTATCCGTAAAGAAAAGGAGGTACATCTTTTAAGGCATTTGATAGTCTATACTCTCGCTCAGCGAAACAGCGAAATAACCGGTAGCTAACATAGTAGCCTCAGCCGCGGTGAAGTCTCTGAATACTATCTTTCTCTGAATAATAGCCTTTGTGTTATTATACGATGTTCTATTCGGACACAGCGAAGATGGCTTACAGGAAAAATGGCTCCCAATTCGGATCTGATTTTTAGGCTGTAGAGCTTTCTAAGAAAAAGGAGAATCCGAATTATTATTTACGCATAGCAAATTTCTCACAGGAAGGAGGAACGCCCGGCGTAGCCGGGCGAACCCTTAAGAAGGAGGAGAGCCTGGCGTTAGCCGGGCGATCCGACTGGTGTATATAATACGGTGAGTTGTCGTCCTGTGAATGCTCCGTGTTCTAAGCGTTATTCAACACAATTTAGAGGGAGAATCAGGTTTATTTTTCGAAGGCCTCACGTCTAGGCCAAGTATATAATGCATAGCAGAGACTTTGTAAGGTACGCATTCTGAAAGGAAAACTTTCAATCATGTTTCAGAGTTCACTCTTGACTGTCTTCGTCGTAATGGCCGCTGTTTCCGGATATTTATTTTGGACGGTCAAATCACCCAAACTTCAATTTGACTTCATGACGGCTTTTTTGATCGGCGTTGTGAGTGAACCTCAATTTCAAAGAAGCTAGTAACATAGCTAATGAAATAGCATTCTATTTACTCAGAAGTGGATAAGTTTCTAATGTAAGTGAAAACAGAAAGCGAAGACACTGCAGAGGAATTGTACGTACTCAGGAAATCAGAACCAGCGTGTATTCTGAGTAAGCAAGCAACAATTACTATTCATTTCTGATGCCCCTTAGCGATCTGAAGATAAATAATATATGTCTCAAAAAAAGTCAAGTCGGAGGACTCGAAAGTTGGAGGGATGCCAAGATATTACACCATAATATTAATGTGAAATCATCAAGTTTATCACGCAATGCCAGATATCTTGAAAGGGTAATTAGATTGTCCCAAGCAAGTTTACTTGGACACCGTAGACTACGAGATAATGGAAAATAACCACATCAAAAACAAACGTACCAGCAAAAGGAAGGAACTGCTCTGAGTCATTTTTGCAGAAGGTGATTTTACACATTAAACTGCAGTCGGTTGACGAAAATGAGAAATCGCATAACAATTCAAATCATGGCTCATCGGTAGACAGTGCATTTTTCTTGATTACCATGCTTCTTCTCTCCATGCTGCACAACCCTCTGGAACCTTCTGTTGCTCGAAGGGTGGCAGGATTGATAATCCTGCAAAACAGCTAAACGAGGTATATTTCGATTTATTTACCACTTTGTGATACTCTATACCAGCGTATTGGAGAGGGAGCCCACTGAAAAAATGCGCGTCATCCCCAATTCCACCTTGAACACCTTTTGCCTCTCCCCGTTGCGCTGACCTTTTGGTCGACAAAGATGTGGAGCCATAAGCCGCACGATTTCTACACCAGACTCGTTTCTTCTCTCCTCTTACACCATGATGATAACTACTATAGTGGTGTTTTACGTTGGCAATGTGACCGTCTGCATGCGAAGGAATTCAAGTCCTCTAACGGAACTCAACGACTCGTAAAGATAGAATTTTGACTTCCACGGCCATGTGTTTTAACTGCTTGATCTGCCCATTCTCTCTTTCTGAAGGTTACTGACTGGATCCCATTTCACATTATACATCCTCGTCTTCTGTAATTAATTCCGAGATGCTGTTCGATTAACTTTCCCATTACACAATCATATCTTTATGTTACTCAACACACATTCAGACTTTTGCTTGCAGCTTTTCTTGCGCTTCATGACCTGTTTGATTTTTCCACTTCAGACCTTTTTTCCTAGAAAGAAATGGTTGTCCAGTTCCTTTTGTGCAACTAAGTATAAACTCTTCCGGTATAACTAATAAAATCTACCGAAAAAAAAAACATAAGTCGAATTTCCATACAGACCTTTGATAGAGCACACTTTGAAAATAACGTTGATTTCCTTAAAATAGCCTCTAAGCGCTTATCTTTGTATGCTTGATTTTTTCGGGACCAATTGGGGGATTTGGCTCCTCATGAGTGAGGTAAAATAGTGGAACAGTAGGATGCTCGAAGGTCACCTCACCATGAGAAATTGTATGGAGAGTGCTTTTACTTCTTCATTGTTTTATGAATGCACGGCTTTCCACAGAAATTACTGAACTTGTAAAAATTATAATGTTTTACAAAGCCCAATTTTTCAACAGTTGAGCATTTTCAAGAATGTCGGAATATATTTCAAACAAAATCCATCTCATTGATATCGATAAACATTTTTTGTTGCGTGTGCTATATAAAATGAGAGTATGCCCTAGGATCGAAATCGGATTCTATTGTTTTGAGATAACGAGATTTCTGGGATGCTCCGAATTGCGATATTAACACCACGTGTAACCGCTTGCTCAAATGATCGAAATTTTTCAGTTTGTTGCATCTACCCTCGGGGTCGTTTCTATCATCTACAAAAATGTGTGCCTCCTAGGGATAGTTGGCGTAGCAATGGTAAATGCTAGCTGCACTTGCTGTTTCTCACCCAACGATTTCTCCTATTGTATCTCTTTTAGATCAGCTTTGGCATTACCTCTATAATTTTTATCGTGGTGGCCACACTCGACTACTTTAACGATGAAAATCAGTTCCGCGGTGAGAGGAAATTTCTTTCACAAGAGGAGGAGACTGTGTCATCCAAGATGATTCATATGTATGTGCAATGCTGTATGTGTTTTCCAACGCTGATTTGTAGTCAATATTCTTAAAGGCACTGTTCGCGACGGACACGTCATCGACATACCCACCCATTGAATCATTGAAACATCGCGAACAGTGCCTTTAACCTGCGAATCAATTCTAGGAAGAAGGTTAGGGAGGCCTTCCTTTTTCATGGAATACTGTTTAGAACCTCACTCGCTCGCTTTTCACTCGCTTAGACTGAGCAAAAGCACATCAATTCGCAGCGTTCCCTGTGTGGCTAATGGCGCAGTAACTGGTGAAGCAGTCTCACAGGCCAGTGAAGATTTTTTTGCATCCTAAATGCCTAGACTAGTCTTGCATTTTTATAATGCCGAACGCTTGCTAAATGGTCTCACCTCTTCCATTAACATTCTGCAGCCCTCGTTCATTTTGAACACATCGAAAACGATTTTTGAGGAAACTTTGCCTCGCTTATTTGCGGTGTGACTGTCCGTTATACTTGATGCAGGATTTCGATGAGATGATTTGGTTAATTTACTTCGGATGAAAAGGATTGGAATGACTGGAGACTCTTATATGGAGCGGACAAGGTCGGCTCTAACTTCAAAAGCAGAATTGCACTTGCACCGCTGGAGTGACCCTATTCGAGTGCTACTATTAATGTTCCAACCATGCCGAGCCATGTAGGCGACTGCTGCTGATAGTGTGATACATGGTACTCCTTTGCAAGGCTTTAACGGGCATGTCATAAAAACGAAAAACTAACCTATGCATCAAAAATACAAACCCAATAAATAACCCGTGTAGAACAAGTATAAGCACATCGAGTGGCACCGATCAGTGTATAGCCATANGCTATACACTGATCGGTGCCACTCGATGTGCTTATACTTGTTCTACACGTCAATGAAATCCCATTCTACCTAGAGGGTATGCTTGCGTAGTTTGCAGCTTTGACCGTTTCACAGACTTATTCGAAATATTGGGTAGGAATCAGCGTCAGCGTTCGAAAAAATATGTGGTGCTACAAAACTCATCTTGAATGGCCAGTGCGACCAAGAATCCCTTTCTGTTAGTCTCTTGAACTATTTGACAAACTACCTTTCTCATTTGTTCCAACTTTAGAATCAACTCGAAAAATTTATGAAGGGTTCGTGGAATTCAGTGAAGGAACGCGATTATTCTATACCTACTTGATTGTGGTGGGTTATTTCGCGGCGCATGCTTTCGGTAAGTCACAATTCAACATCTGCTTTACTACTCATCTCAATCGCAACTGGACATGCTGTGGAAGAGTGGTGCCACTTCTCATGCCACATGTCCAGTAATATATAACTGATCAAGGCCAACATTGTACACATCCCTGCTCATGTTCTCCGAGCATTTTTTGTAGGAGTGCATGTAGCTTCGGCTCGTTCTTAGAGCTATACTATAGATGAAGAACAGACATGGCCTCAGTTCCTTTTCGGATCAGTTCTGAATGCCCAACAATTTGAAAGGAAATGGTCAATGGTCATTTCCAGTCTCTTCCTATCTATTTTGAATATTGCAGTATGTAATCAAGGGGGAGTATGATTTCAGAATCATCAATTCCGTTTCCAGACAGACCGCAAATCTTTTACAGAAATCTCTAACAATATGATGCGGGTATTCAACACTGATCGCATTTGTGGTCGCAATCCACAATTGCTGAAGTGAATGGAATTGATACAGCGTAACAAGAGCAATGAGGAAGTTAAGGAGATGATAAAGTAAATAGACCAAAGAATGGTGACTCGTTTCGCCCTCTCACCAGAGAATCACCAAATCAACCTACCCGGCAAGCTTACCAGTAGCAGCGAGTTTTTTGTTATTTTCAATGTGCTGGGAAAACAGTGTTGCACAAAGGATGACATGATTCATTGAAACGCACGGAACTACTGCTCAACTTCTTGTAATCAGAAAAACTTCTGAAGACATGTCAAAGGAGTGCAATCTGTTCTCATGACTGGTTAAGCAATAAGTTGGAATATTCATTCAACCTTTAAGAATTAAGAATGCATTCTATTGCATGGAACATCCTGTTTCAGCGTTCTTGGCGGTGGCCATCATGGCATGGAAACTACGCACTCACTACGTCTAGCACGCAGGAGTTTACAGCAAAGCTGTATAACAAAAAAAACTGTTTCGCCTCTACATTGATACACTACACTATGAATGAAACTTGTTTGTTTGTCCACCACATTCATACACTACACCACTGGATAAAACTTCTCTGTCACTATCACTGTTATGTCTCTAAACCTTCACGAATGAACGGTGAGAGGGACGGGACGGACGTGCAGCGTAACGAGCTCTTTCTACATTTCGTGTTTCGAGCATGCAAAAGAGGTCATCTTATTAGATTTGTGGACTTCGATGATAGAATACAATTTTTTGATGCTACCATCAACTCGAGTGATGTGCAGTACAACTCGCGGGATTTCTAGCACAGGAATTTGTAACTGTTTTCACTCTTTATAATAAGGACATTTATTCACCGGAAGGAGTACAGAGCAGCTACCCTCCTAAACTCGTGATTCGAAGTCAGCGTTTAAATATTGGAATGCCTTGCGAAACTGAGCGGAGTAAGTTACTCGGTTTAAAGTCTCTTGAATGAGAAAAAAAATGATAGTCTGATGACCGACAAAATTTTAAATTGCGTAACTACCGTGAATGTTTCTGTTTTGCGCAGTTGTGGATTATGCGCAAGATTCTTCAGCTAAGATTTCAACCACACCAGCATTATCCTAAATTAAGTCGCACTCGCTCATAGTAGGGATGGGTCGAGCTTCAATTCACTTTTAATCGTAATCTCGTCCCGCTCCAACAGCATTTTCTCTTACAAAAACTGCAGTTCACTTGCACGAGAGCATTGCTAGACTCTGAGGTGAGGACAGTATCCCTCCAGAAGGCACCGAATCCCACTTCCGGTATTCCTCAAATGTAATGGATAGCTGTAAATAGTCAATATGAAGTATCAAGCATTATGCAAGCTTTGGGAAAACGTAGAACAAATTTATGGGTGAATGCTCTATACTTCCATCTCACTCCAGTGAGCCACATGCCTCACCAACTGCGCGGTTGCTGCATGATGAAATGTTTATTCGTTTGATACAGAACTGTCACACAGAGTAGAATACTTTCATAACTTCGTTCCCATAACCGTTCGGCAGATTTGGAGGGCAGATTTGAGGTCGACATTGTGAAATACTCACGGGGTATACACTTCATCTCGATTGAGTTCTGCAACCTAGAACCCTCTACTTGTAACTGAATTCTTCTGACACGTCCAACCACTCGGAACCCTATTATGATGTGGGATCAGCCTAGAAAAATTATAAATAATTTTGAGCAAAGATTGTGGTATTATGCTTGCATGCAGCAAGCGCCGCCTTAGCTGCACAAGCAGCCCTAATGGATAACAGACAGGCACACTAAGTTACAGGATCCGTTGCGAGTATGACAGCACCTCCTCTTCGGCTGCATATGGAATCACACAATTGTGACATCAAAATCCGACTGGTCGGGACGTCCAGCCGATGTATGGACAACCAACCCAGTGACGATAGCACGGATTACAATTGCTCGGACGTCGTTGAATTTCACTGCGAAGATACTTGGTGTAGAACTCCATTGAGAACCACGAACTCACCCCGCCATCTACCGCGCAAACGAACGCTACGGTTCCGTCGAAGCCAACAAGCAATGCACACAAGTCCACGTATGCGCCGCACTTGCGTCTCCCTGTAATTGAACTGAAACAGATCAACGATGTTGGAATAAGAACTGCATGAATCAAACTACCTAGTCGCACTTCTTGACAAGGCATCACCTATCGTAGACGTCGCTCATGATGGACGAGGATAAGGATAAGGATAAAGTCTATGGACGTTGATCAATCTCGTTCAAGGGAAGTGCCCCCGCATTCCTTTGCCATTCACAATCATGGTGGCGTATTGGATGCGTGTGGCCTTTACAATACTTGCGGTGGCCACACACAGTTCATGCTTTTATCTTCCCAGACAGATACCAACTAACTGACCCCGGAGGGATGGAAGGCTGGTTGGCCTGGGCGAATATCGAGCTTGGATTCGAACCCGTGATCACGCGTGTGAGATACAGCGCTACATTCCATTGCACCACTCCCGCCCCAAGTTGAATTTGAACAAAATGGCTGCTTTCATAGTCCATGATTTGGCCCGCGAGCGCGCGAGCGGGCGAGTGACCGAGGAATTACTCATCCGGCAGAACCGACCAAGATTCTGTTGTGAACAAGGTGCAAGCGCCGCTCCCGGTCGCTCGCTCGCTCACGCGCTCGCCGGCCAAATCGCGGTCTATGAAAGCGAATGCGAATATGAATGCGCCTTTCCCGAGCAAAAGTTGTGCTTCTTTCCTAAGCAGCTGTAAGGAGTTAATACAGATAATCATTGAAAGAAGGTTGTTTCTTTTTTTCCGAATGAAAGGATTGCTTCTCCTGACAACGACTTGAACAACTATGGTCTATCAAATACGCCATACACGCGACTTCTACTCAGGATTGCAGTAACGTTTTGAGGAATGTAGTATTTATAAAAATAGCGAAAATGTAATGATAATGAAAAATCTGACTGGGTAATTGTTTTTCTGTAACAAGTCAACCAGTAGTACACTATTGAAACAAGCCCATGTCTTACAGATCCTATAACGATCAATTTAGAATAATATCTTACAATAGGCTTCCATTCTGAAATTTTTAATGTTCTGATGCGTAAAAGAGAATAGAAGTCGCATGTATGGCGTACTTGACAGAGCATAGTTGTTCAATTTGTTGTCAGGAAAAGCACTCCTTGGAAGTGGTGCAGTTGCATGCGGTGCTGTATCTCAACGCATGGTCACGGGTTCGAAACCAGGCTCAATATACGCCTAGGCAGGCCAATCAGCTTTCTATCGCTCCGGGATCGGCTAACTGGTACTAGGCTCGGCAGGGAAGATTAAAGCACTGACCTGTGAATGGCCACCGCAAGTATTGTAAAGGCCACACGCATCCTGCTAGCATGGGATAATCGACGAAATCGTCTGCTGGGGGTCTTTCAAAATACTTGAAGTGATCGTGACTTCCATGCCCGATTTCTTCATGCCTGCTGCTGCCAGCCGAACTCTGTGAGTGACTGCTGTTTTTCTATGCCTCGAGTGTACAAGTACTAAAGTCGAGCACAAAAGGGACGCAAAAAATGATCGCTTCCGTAGTAAGACCTCGGCGCGTAGGCATCTTATCCCTTCGTTTCGAAGCCGAAAAGTATTAACCGGTTTGGTTCAAGGTGTGGTTTGACATATCAAAATTGTTCTCGAATCCCTCCACTATGAAAAAAATTACGATTGGAAAAGCGTTTCAGCGCACTTTTAGCCGCTACTGCACATCACTTTTGAATACGTTCTGAAGAATGGTCAAAAATGGTCATCATTGGTAGAGAAGACATGGCCGATTGCGAGAGCATGAAGTGGGCAGAGCTGAAATTTATGATCATACTTTGAAGCGTTCCTAATTATGCTGTTTGCAAACAGCCTTCCTCCCATCAGACATAAAAAGTTTGCGTGCGGTACAATTTACGCTGAGAGGAGTTATTTGATCCACCAGTTCACATAGATTTGTTTCGTGATTCCCGGTAATTCACAGACTCGTTCTGTCTGAAGAATAGCGACGGAATTTCAAGGAAGTTGAAAAGTTGTGGTGGGAATTCAGCTGCAATGTAACGACCGATGATGGTCAACTGATACTGACAGATGTCGATTTGTACTATTCGATACAGAGCACCTTTCTCGTACCGAAAAAAAAACATGAGAGGCATTTACCAGGCGTTCCACCTTCGACACAGAGAGGATGAGAATCCGGCTGAAGCCGGACGATACGATCGGTACATATAAGAACAAACTTCACAGCATATACTCAACTGCTGTTCACATCGTAAATGCCATACCTTCTTGTAGTGAAGGAACTGATTCGGATATTGTCAGAGGCTGTTACGTAAATTATCACAACCAAGAACCTTTGTAGTAATAGCAGCAAGATTTCGTTATAACTCTGACGATTGAAAAGAATTTGAATACAAAACCCGTCCCCTTCATTTTTTAATCCCCACAGACTGCTCCAAACGTTAACCTCTATTTCAACAAGTACATTCTCATAGATGCTGGTATCCAATGGGCCAGACCCATTTTGAAGAGCCAGTCTTTATTCTCGAAGAAATTTTCGCACACAATCGATTTAGACACGCCGTATATAACACGACATGAAAAATGCCATAGGAATCAATGCATCATCTACTGAATAAAATTCCACACGAAATATTTATTATTTGGCATGCAAGCAATAATAACTACTCGAAAACAGATATGGGACAAAAGGGTTTTGATCACAGCATGCACACGACGACACACGCACATTTAACGTTGTCATTTACAACACGGTAAACAGTCAGTGACGTGGATTGTAAAATTATACATTTCTATTATTAAATCAGTTTAAATCCAAAATACCAGCTTTTGTTACTATGCTAATCTGACCACATATTACAATATGAGATACAAACGTATAGTACAATAGTTAGATCGTTTTTTTCACCTATCCCTGCATTGCAAATGCAATAAGTCGAACAGCCCTACTCTTCACAGATAAGTACCACACAATAAAGCGGATACTTCTGTTTACAACAACAATGGCAAAAATGCTACTTCAGAGGTGATTTAACGAGGTGTTTTCTAACTCTTCTGGAGGTTTTCATTAGTATCCCCCTTGATTTTTGAGGAGAGAATCTGCTTCGATACCAACGAGTAATATAGACCATTGACATCACTCATCAATTGAGCGTGACTTCCTGTCTGAACAAAAAAATATGTTTAATTGTCTTTCATTCGTTTGGATCAGGGTCGTTTTATAAAGTGTGTTCACCAAACAGTCAAAATTCGTCACGCACACTTGAGGGATACCGTACTTACCCCGGGTTTGGAGCACTGTTCACGAATATTAGATTTAGATTTAGATTTATTGCATGTGTCTGGCACATGTGAAGAAAAACACAAGTTGAAATCCAGCGAACAAAAAGATCAACATTGGGCTTAATGCAACAAAAAGTACTTGAAAAATGGGAAAAGNAGATCTTACCTTATTAATACTCAGCGGCCCCCATGGGTTGTTGAAGGGACCCTCTCACTCCCCCAATCTCGACGTCCAGGGCGTAGTGGCAGCTCCGTTGTTGACGTAGTTCGCATCTCCGCCCCTCGACTGATGTCACGTCAGACGAGTGTCGAGACGACACAGCGTCATGTAATCGCGTCAGGACCCACCCTGAAGTGCAATTTGGCAAATTGCCAGAGTCGCAATGTGTTGTCGGCTATTGCAGACAACACACTGCATCTCTGGTCTGGCAAATTGCCAATTTGGCCGAACACCTCCTAACCACCGTTATTTCAATGTGAAACTCGTCCAACCCCCTTTCCAGCTCTTTTTTTGACCCTTTGTAGTTCTTTTTGTTTGTCTTTTTTTGCGGTTTTTTCACTGTTATCGCTTTATTCTAGAGTAGTTCTATCAATTCCCGTCAAAAAAGGGTAAACTACATTTTTTGCTAGCGGTGCCTTTAAATTGAATATGTATTTCAAGGAAGATACAATGGAAGGAAACACTTCTTTTATGAAACAAAATGGAATCCCATCAGGTGTGACTGACGACCCCGATTCCCATTCGACTTAAAATGCGGTAAATATCATGCTCATGAAACCACAGAGAGTCGGCCATTTGCGGAAAAGATCCATACAATTCAAAATTATCGGTTTCTAAATCACTATGCTTAACATAAACTTGCTCAAAAGTATCAGCTAGTAATTCAGCCTTTTCCGAATCTGTGGTGACCACAGTCCCATCTGGTTTAACTAATGCTGCGAGACCCCCTATCTTGATGATTCTAGTGTTTATATGCCTGAACACACCTTGCTATTGCTTTCTATAGCCTTTTTTTCGACCAGGCAGTTGTATTTGTACAACTTGCTTTCAAATTTCTTGTTGATATTCTTATAGAACTCCCAGTCTGCCAGCTGACTGGTCGCTACAGCGCGGTTATATGCGGCAGCTCTTCTGTCGAACATAGAATATAAGTAGGTGGGAATGTTGCCCTTTGTGGCTCTGGCCTTATATAATAGAACATATGACTCCAAACAATACTTTAGAATGGATGTAAACATTTCGTACATTTCATTGACATCATTGATACAGTAAAAAGAGCCCAGCCAATCAATGCTATCAAGATAGCTGCGAATATGGTTATAGTTGGCTTTTTTGAAATCCCTTTTCAAAATGTACCTAGTTTCATGATAACTCAAGTTCAAAGAGAACACAATACAAGCATGATCGCTCGTTCCCACTGGCGATTCTATGCTGACCCTGCTTACGAAACGGTGATCATTACAAAAAAGCAGATCAAGCATGTTGTTTCCCCTAGTCACAGACCGTACAAGTTGGGCATATTCAAGATTTTTTGTCAAATCGAAGAAAGATTTGGCCGACGAGTTGAGGTCGGATAACGAGGAACAGGACCAGTCAATATTGGGGAGGTTAAAGTCACCTGTCAATAGACAGCAGTGATTGCAAACTGAGAGATCTCTAATGCATATAACAAGTCGTTCACTATGCTCACTAGGACAAGTAGGAGTTCTGTAACACAAGATAATGCGACACTTATTTTTGTCCCCTTGGAAATCACACGCGATAATGTCGTATCCGTCAGAAAACGATTCAGAGAAAATGTAGACCGGAGACAAAGCTTTTTTTATGAACAGAGCGACGCCACCGCCTTTTTTCCGCCTACGACCGCATCGAAAGACTTGATAATTATTGCAAACCTCACCTAACTTAGCGCTCACCTCAAGACCAGATCTGAGCCAGGTTTCCGATAGAGCAATTATCCCGTAGTTTGTTTTCGTGAGCATATATTATAATATGGAATTCAATTTGCATGGTGGTTCCTCCACAAACTTATTAGTGCTCGAACGTGCTTGAGGATTGTGTTAGTTGGAAATGTCACTTCGATATCAAGCGTCGTCGGTCGTAGTTATGCGCTCTCGCTCTGCAGGTGAAGGATGCGCGTTCGCTTGACGAAACGGCCTAACTTTTTTACACAGGATTGTTTCGTTCTAATTTTTTAATTTAATTAATTTAATTTTTTGAAAAAACTTATATTTTCTATCAATTGCTGGAGTGGTTTCAACTGCCATTCACCATTCTCATTATGTCATTGGATTATGATCATTGGTGTGTTGTACCCATTTTGCACCTCTCGCTCCCTGAAACACCAACGGTACGAGGCAAGCTAGGCCAATGAAAATATAGGCTTCTGCGCTACCCCTGAAGAGTATTGGTTTTGAACAATTGACTATTTGTTTTCGGTTGCAGAGAAGCAACTTGAAAAAGGTGTACACAGACTTAAAAACAACATATTTGTGACAGCTTCAATTAGAACAAAGGAACTCTTAGCAAAAATCTTGGAAGAGGAATCTGCATTTTTCGATTGTAGGGGAAGAGCACTACCACTATACTGCAGCGAGTTGTTGTTATTAAAGCGACCGCTGCGCATTTCCAATCAACACTACCTTTAAGCGACTTTTAAACACAACTTCTCGGGAAAGCCATTTTGTATCTTCTATTTATATATTGTAAACAGCACTCCAAATCCTATCGACGCCACTAGGCTTTCATTAGAAGTACAATTCTAATGTCACCACCCTTCTTCGGTTAGAAAGGCCTGGTGCTGGTGATCATAGTACCTCTTCAACAATTCGTTCCTTCTGTTCTTACTGAGGGCAACTTGCTCAGTGAAGCCCTGACAGCTTGGGAAACACCATAATGATAACATGATAATTAGCGTTCGTTCACTTGTCAAATATACATAGAGGACATTTTGAGCAAAGAAAAAATAAACCTGTACTATTCTTCCCCTATCGATTACAGCGATTTTGTCGGCTTTCTCGATGGTTGATAGGCGATGGGCAATAATCAAAACAGTTCGCTCTCGTGCACACCTAAACAAGACTATAAAATTGTCAATTCCAATGAAAACGAATTATGTGTACTACGTCCATGTACAATATTACCGAACGAAGTAAAGAATGCAAGTAAGGCACAAGGACTGAGGCATGAGGACTGAGGCATGAGTGTCGAAACGAATACGTATAAGTTTTTATATGAGTTAGAAGTTCAAAGTTGGAAGTGGCAATGCCACAAGTATGGACTGAAAGATAAGTGATCAAGCGTTTTTTCCGTTCATTTCTATTACTCCCTGCTGCGTTGCAGTCGCTGCTTCGCTTGCATTGCTGAACTCTTGCCCGTGCACAAAACTCCCAAGTTTGCGCCATTTCAGTACCAAATTCATTTCAATCCCTGTCCCCGAACGTAACCGTGTTTCGGCTACTGCAGAGATTCCTCCGTCCTCTTCATCTACTCTATGTCTGGACGATTTGATGCAGTGATGCGTTCATGCGTCTCGTAACAGGAGAAAACTTGTCGCAGAAGAGCTTCATCCGTTCCCGAACGAGTCATACTCCTTCAAGACAAATGCGAACTGGTGCGCTTTTCTGATCTCCACTCCGTGAGCTCGGAACAGAACGTCAGTCCTAACTGCAACGCTGTGATAAGCAACGCTTTCATTCGAATAGCTTAGGTACGTGAGCGATGGGGATGCAATTGACACGAAGAACGTTCACAGCAAATTGGGCAGTATTTCCTGCAGTAGCGGATGTAATACTCCCAGCAACAACCTGCGGTTAGCGTAACCCTTCCACTTTTTACTGTGTCGCGCTTATTACGTTGATCTTTTGACATTTTCACGAAAGGTGTCATTTTTCCTTCAATCGAAGCCGGCTGTCTTTGCATATTATTGGTACGGCTTGCTTTCCACTCCGTGACCTCAATGCAAGCTAAGCTGGTGCAAATTTTTACGCTATAATCCTTACTATAGAATATTAGGAAAAAGAAAGAAACCTAGAATTACCTGTTCAGGGCCTCTTGCACAAGAGCTTCAGATTCCGCATCCAGTGCTGAAGTCGCTTCATCAAGGATTAACACGACTGGATTTCGAACCAACGCCCGCGCAATCGCTATACGTTGTTTTTGACCTCCTGGAAAGTAGGAGCATCCGAAAATTGATGAAACAGCACGAAGACGTGTTATCAACTCAGATTCAGAAGCAGAATCTAGTACTTCTTGAATTGAAGTTATCTCACGAACAAAATACGATGGCAGCTTGTAATAAAAATAGAAAAAATAGAAAAACTGTATCACCTAGATCACAAAATACGATGGCGCAACTTGTAAGATAAACAGGACAGATTGAAGAAGTGCAACATCTATACCACCTGCCGTCCCCCTGACCATCGACTTTCCTCGACCGAGCGCCAGTACCGTTCAAATTCGTCTCTGCCGCGAGCTAGAGCGGTCCAGAAAATCGTCCTCGCTTCAGGGACAGCAGGCTCAGCATTTCTTTCGTTCAGAGCTTTCGTGAAGAAGTCTGACCATCTCGTTGGCGGCCTTCCTGGAGTTCATTTGATGCCCCGAGGGATCCAGTCAGTAACCGCCCTTGCCCAACGGTTGTCTCTATATCGCATAACGTGTCCAGTCCGCCTGGTCATCGATCTCTTGGCGTAATCAACGGCATTCCTGATCTTCGTCCGGCGGATTCCCTTCTGCTCTTGGGAAGATGTATAGGGAAATTCCAAGCGCTCCAGCGGAAACTCTCGACTCTACTCTCCGCTAACTATCACTTGTCTAGTGTCAAATTCGTACTTCAAAATTTTATTTAATGATTTCTCTTCTTTAACATTCCCTGGCTTCTTAATCACTTATTCAAGTGATTTCGAGACGGCGTGCTGCCTTCAACTCGGTCCAGTACGTTTAAACATTCTAGAAGCGAAAAAGTGGGTAGCAGTGGTAGAAGGAATGTGGCCAAATTTACGGAAAGGGCGTGACCTGCACTGGATGGACGAAGCTTTAGAGTATGCGGGACTAGTGGTAAACTATCAGAGAAAGAATGAACAAATTTTCAAAGGAATCAGTGCTTCACTAAGGATGGCGAGGCTAAGATCAAAAATTCATAACTCCGTTCAATACCATCCCAGAAGACGGGAGATGGGTGGTTAGGTGTTACGGAAGGAATGCGGTCGAATCCTTGCAATGGGCGGAGTTTGCAGTGGGATGGGCTAAGCTAAGATAAAAGGTTCACAACTGTCATCGAAAACGTTTTAGTACACGAAGAAATGGTTAGGGGCAGCTAAAAGAAGCGGAAGAGAGAGGGCAACACTGAGGTGAGCGCAGCTGCTAAAGCACCCAAAGCACCCGTGACTCTGCTCACAAACGTTCTAGAATCTGAAAACAAGTGTATTATGCTGTTGAAAGAAGAGTGCTCAAAAACTCAAAGTGGAGAGGGCCTGGGTGGGCGGAGCTAAGGTTAAGAATTTACAATTTACTACAAAGACGTCCTTGAATTTCCAAAATTGATCTGCATATCAGGTAATCATAGCTACTTATTACGTATGAAATCTCATCATCATTCACTGTATGCAAAGGATTCGCTTCTGCGTGCCTTCTCTCGTGAAATTTAAAAGTTTTGGCCTCGGGCATGTTCATGATTTTGCTCTAGAAAGCTCAGACACAAGACAGACCAAGGCATTCGCAGTGAACTGGTGTAACTAGGGTCGAAGACGTTCTAGAACGCGGAAAAAAAGAAGTTGGAGGTGTGGAAGCTGCATGGTCGTATCACACGAGCCGGTGGAGCTTACAGAGAGGTCGCCAAAACCTAAAAGTCATAACTCTGGTCAATAACGTTGCAGAATGCGGCAAAGACAGCTAAAGAGGGTAATCAAATTCATAGAGTGGATGGGGGCTGCAGTGGGGTGTTCGCGGCTCGGATCACGCTCTAGAATCCTCATTATATACAAGAAAAAAGTGTATAGAGGTTCTTAAAGGAAAGATTACCAAATCCTCAGAGTGGACGGGGCTTGCAGTGCGATAGAATGGTCAAAATTCGCAGCTACGTTACGCTACAGATTCCCTTCGAATATGAGGTCATTATCATTCCTTACTACCCATCAAATGATCGTCCTTACTGTATGTAGAGAAATCGCTTCTTTCTGTCTGCCCATCATTCCCGTAATTAAACGAAACATGAAAAAGCACTGAAGAGCTCTAGCAATATTCGGGTTCCCTGTGGTTTAAGGCCAACAGAGCATGTATGAGCTCAGGGAAACTCGCTAACCGGGACGGAACATCCACCACAATGGGTGGGTCAGGGAATAAACTCCATAATTTTCTTCCCAAATGCTCAGGCACCGGAAAAAAAACAGGAAAGCTCACGCACCGAGAAAAAGACTTACCCTCGGTGAACTATGCGTTCCCGAACTTTTAGCACAAAGTCATAATCCACCACAGCTTATAGTCAGATTCCCGAGGGGTGAGGCTCAAACCGAAAAGCTCATCTCTGTTTGACGTGTTCTTTCTTGTGACGCGCGCGTTAATCGAAACTAATTTTGTAGAGTCACTGTAAACAATAAAGCACTGCAGGCTCTATATGAAATGCTGAGTTCTCATGCTAGAATTATGTAGACTTAAGCTAGGTTATTAACATGGGAAGCATTTGAGAACATCGAGGGAGCAGTGAAAGGGATAAAGAACATCCAGCTACGCGCTACATTTTTCAACTTAGCGTTCCTTGTTGCTTTACGCACGCCTCGGAGGCATCAACTATACAAAAGCAGTGAGTGTCAGCGCGCTGCGGAAAAAACGGCGCTTGGAATATATCTGTACACATAAGTGCAGAAGGAACCCAGGCTTGCGAGGTTCGCCAACGAAACAAGATCAGGGACGCCGTTGCATACACCAGGAAAACGAAAAACAGGGGGACCGGATACTTTTTGGTATTGTGATGACCGTTGGACTAAGGCGATTACTGGCTGGACACGCCAAACGACTACCTTGGGACGTCAAACAAATACCAGGATGACCGCCAATGCGATACCAACTTTTACACGAAAGAGCTGAAAGAAAGGAATGTTATGTCTCGTGTTCAACGATCTAGGATGACCCGCTGGACTACTCTTGCTGGCAACACGGACGATTGGAGCGCCCGCTCAAAGGAACAGGTGATCAACGGAAGGTTGGGTGTTACAAATGACACACATTAGGCAACGTGTTCGTGGAAATGACGATCTGCAACTTCTCATTACCTGAGAAGTAGAAAATGACGGGTTATCCGTGTTGGGAATTATTAATCTGTTGTCTTAATCTGAAATTTTTCAGGCAATGATTAAACTACTAGATTGCGTTCAAATTGTGAAGAGCACCCCGACTTTACTTGATGTATAAGGTACGGTGAGAGCAAAACTTCAGTGACTGTCTTGAAATATGCAGGGCCTACTCTTCCGAACCAACTTAGAGTGATTCTGCCACTTTCAAGTTCTGTCGGGAACGTGCCTATATCCTAAACAGTATAAGGAGTGATTTGATTCTGAAATCCGGAAGTCTGGAAGACGAGCATTCCGGGCAGCCCTCACACTTTTGCGGAGGTGGAAACTTTCAACGAAAGATCAAACAAGGGTAGAGGTCATACTCACAACTCCCATCGAAATAAGATGTCAACACAGTTTGACGTTTCGTTCCTTCATTTATTCTTAGGAAAAAACAATGAACGAATATAACGAAGCGTGCTGTATAGATATGCTCTTCAGAACATAGAAAAGGCCGTTTTTGGACAATTTTTACAATACGAGCGTGCTATTTCCGACCTTAGCAGTGCAGCTTCAGGAACCTTTCTCGTAGTGACAACTTCCCACCTGACATTTGAACTCCTTTTTCGCCACAATTGGTTTCGTATCCATTTTCAAGTTCGGATACGAAATTATGTACGTTCGCCGTCTTTGCTGCTCTTAGCATGTCTTCTTCTGTTGCCCATTCGCAACCATAAAGAATGTTGTATCGCACGGAACCATTGTAGAGCACCGGTTCTTGCGCTACGAGAGCGACCTAAAACGATTTACGATCTATTTGAAATCCATGGGAGTATTCAGCCTTTAGTAACCCTATAAAGCGGAGGTCGCGATAGTGATAATTGGCAATCGGCGCGCTATACACAAATTGGCCCGAGGATCGAGTACTAGCCAAGACTCATAGAGGTCACAGAAGCCTCCCATCCCTCCAAGGTTTCAGAATACCAGGCTCGTCTGAAAATAAAAACCATTTGAAATGAACGACGTTTTGAATAGACCAGTCGGGCCGCCCGGCTAACGCCGGGCTTCCCTCCTTTTTAAGGGTTCGCCCGGCTACGCCGGGCGTTCCTCCTCCCTGTGAGAAATTTGCTATGCGTGAATAACACTTCGGATTCCACTTTTTCTGTGATAGCTCTACACCCTCAGTGTTGGTTCCGAATCGGGAGCGATTTTTTCTGTAAGCCATCTTCGCTGTGTCCGAATAGAACATCGCATATCATCACAAAGGCGATCATTCAAAGAAAAAAATATCCAGAGACTTCATTGCGGCTGAGTCTATTGTGTTAGCAACCATCAATGTTCCCAGCCAACTCCTTGCGTCTTCATGTTTCAACGACCTGGGTCCGAACTAACACCATTTATTCACGCCCCGCCCTTTGGGAGAAAGCGGAGTTTAGTCCTGCAACCTATTATCAGTGTACCTATCATGCCTCCTCTACTCCTACCAAGTTTGGTAGCTCTAGGTCCATTTTGACAGTCTCTGCGGGCCCGTTTTCCGTTCAAACTCCGCCCAATGGGCCACTGCGGGCGGAGTCCGGTCCTGCCACCCAACATAAGTGTTCCCATCCTGCCGCCTGTATTCCTACCAAATTTGAACACTCTAGGTCCAAAACTAGGTTTTTCACACAAACCCCGCCCCTGTGGGCGGAGTCCGGTCTTGCCAGAACCGTAAGCGTTCCAAATTTGAACTCTCTAGGTCTATAGGAACAGGATTCATAAGTTTCTGCTCAGCCCCGCCCTCTGTGGGCGGAGTCCGGTCCTCAGGGGGCGTACTTCCAGGGAGAGTCCACCCAACATAAGTGTTCCCATCCTGCCGCCTGTATTCCTATCAAATTTGAATGCTCTAGGTCCAAAATTAAGTTTTTCACACAAACCCCGCCCCCTTTGGGCGGAGTCCTGTCCTGCCACCCAACATAAGTGTTTCCATCCTATCGGGGGTACTCCTACCAAATTTGGACGCTCTAGGTCCAAAATTAAGTTTT